ACCACTGTCCCCAACTCAGCCTATACAAGTGAACCTTAACCTCTACCACTGTCCCCAACTCAGCCTATACAAGTGAACCTTAACCTCCACCACTGTCCCCAACTCAACTGAACCTTAACAGCGCAATTTTATCTGTTTACAAATGTAAATGCTTTTTTTTATATGAAGGAACATGAACTGTATCCCATGTTGTTGTTTTATATTTTTCTGATGTAAAAAATAATGGATATTATAATTAAACAATTTACAAATAATCAAAAATACATGTAAAATTTTGCCTGTTTGAATTTTTATTTATTTATTAATAGCATGCTGTTTTTAAGAAAACATTAAAAAGTAACGTTTTTGTTTAGTAAAATCATAAATACACAATGCAAAGTAAGAAACCTATTTAAATAATATCTGAATTTGTATTACATATATTCAGCTTTGGCATTTAAAAATAAAGATTTACTTTAAAGAGAGAAATCATTATATTATATAATTATAAAGTTATGAGATAAATTTGCAGATGTATTAGGTGTCAATCACTGAATTGTGTATAATATATTGACTATAGATGATGGGCATCAAATTATAAACTAAAACACTATTTATGGTCATTATAACTAAACACATTAAAATTTATCAGAAATATTTGTCTTATTAGACATTGTCTATTAGTCGCCTATTGTCTATTAGTTCTTGTTCTTGTAAAATTCTTTTTTTAATTATTTCTGGTTTAGTAACACACGTCATGCACAATACAAAAACAATAAAATAAAATCGATATTGAATCAATGTTCAAAAATAAATAATGAGTCTCAAGAAATTAAAAAAAATAAAGTGATTAACTTGCATATTTATGTATTTGTTTACTTTATATGTTCTTGCAAAACATACAGATTTAATGTTTATAATTTACAACTTTGAAAGTAATATGCAAAATGTAATATTTTTTTATCATAGATTAACATGTCCGATCAGTGGCGTTCAGTGTATTACCTCTGACGTCATGTTTCAGGGCCGGAAGTGCTGCTGGGTGTGTGACGTCATCTCCAGGTTCCCGTGAGGAGAGCAGCAGCGCTTCTGATTTTGCGTTATTTAATTTTATCATTAAATCTGAATCTTTCAGATAATTAACTGCGGTGTATAAACACCTTGTGCTGCTTCTCGCTGAGCGAAGTGCTTGGAAAGGTGAGACGATCTGGCGATCATCGACACACATCAAATAAACAGATATTTCGACAACAGTGCTCTTATATTGTAACACCAATCGGCGATGTATACGTTTATTATGTATATTCATTTCTATGCTAAATAAGTTTTAATCAAGCTTTAGTGTATCAAATGTCAAACACTCATATTTATGGACAAACATAATTCACAAATAATCTGTAGTAAACTAGTTTTTAATTGATTCTCTTTTAATATAAAACATGTAATATTTTTGGTTTAGCTAAATAATAACATACAAATAAAATATTAGATATTAAATATCTAATTCGATATTCAATTTGGTGTTGCTGTTTGACATTTTAGAGAGAATTGATTGAAATCAAATTGTGTATTTATAGGGTGTCCATCGCCCAATAATAATATATTGACTATAGATAAAATATATTTATGCACATAATCTATAAGTTTTGCACAAGAATGATGATCATCGACTTGCTCTTTTCTGATGATCCCAGTTTACAAGTGAGCAAAGATATGCTAACGGTTATGAATATGAAGTGATTGACAGCTCACGGGTATTATTATTTATTCATAATTACATTATTATTTTTTTACAATTTAAGCCAGGGTTTCGGTGACAGCCAAATATTAGATTAGAGAAATAATACAAAGAAAGAAGGAAAGAAAGTAGAAAAATAAACAAATGTGGAAATATTGATAGTTTATGAAAATAAAAAGAAGATTCTCTGTGTCTCAGTCAGGATGACATCACCGGGCGGGCAGGGGGGCGGAGCTCTGTCCACGAGGGGCGGAGCCACGAGCAAGAGGATGAAGTGGGCCGTCGAGCTGAGCCTCGGCAACAGCAGGTACGTCATCACTGCAACCCTAGCAACACCCTAGCAACCGTGCACAACACTCACGACTGTGTGTGCGCAGGAGTCGCAGTGACCGGCAGAGTAAAGACGGAGACGTCATGTATCCCGTGGGGTTCTCGGATAAACCCGTGCCGGACACCAGCGTTCAGGAGGCCGACCGCAACCTGGTGGAGAAGGTGAGACACACCTCTCATGTAAAGACTCCGCCCTCTTCTGAAAGGAGGCGGAGCTGCAGCTCATTTGCATCTAAAAGGAACACACAATAACTGCAAGTTTTTGCTCACACCTAAAAAGGGCTATAAATGATTTTGAGCTGATATTTCACACACACACACACACACACATTCTGGAGACTCATCATGTAAAAACGACAATAACACATTCACTATAACTGACAATAATTTACAATATTTGTATAATTTTACCACAATTTAGAGTTGTACCAAGACACAAAATATAGGCGATTTATGTCATTTTAAACAAACGTCGCCCTGCTAGTGTTTGATCGTGTGTGTGTGTGTGTGTGTGTAGAGATGCTGGGACGTGGCTCTGGGACCGTTGAAGCAGATTCCCATGAACCTCTTCATCATGTACATGTCTGGAAACACCATCTCCATCTTCCCCATCATGATGGTGTGTATGATGGCGTGGAGACCGATCCAGGCACTGATGTCCATGTCAGCCAGTGAGTAACACACACACACACACACACACGCGCTCACTCACGATTAATAAGCTCTCGGTGTGTGTGTGTGAAGCGTTTAAGCTGCTGGAGAGCTCGAGTCAGCAGTGGCTGCAGGGATTGGTGTATCTCGTGGGAAACCTGTTAGGCTCCGCCCTCGCCATCTACAAGTGCCAATCAATGGGCCTCCTCCCAACACACTCCTCTGATTGGCTGGCGTTCATTGAGCCGCCTCAGGTGCGTGAATAATTCACGAGTGTGTGTGTGTACATAGAAATGTGCTTTCTGATCTGTGTTTGTTTTCTTCACAGAGACTGGAGATCATGGGCGGAGGAATGGTCATGTGACACACACACACACACACACGCTTCCCATCTAACATTAACATGTTTAACTGCACATGCTGATTAAGTTATGCTTTGTGTTTAATGAAATCTATTATGTTTTGTCAATTTCAAAATAATAAAGTATGTTTAACGTTTTCCTGAGACATGGACTCTTTTGTCTTTCTGCATAAAGCGTGAGTTATTAATCATTTATCGTTATTTATTATCATTGATGTTCAGGTGAAATTATATTCAGGAAAAACACGTCTAGCTCATGTTTGAATGCAAACGATAAAGAGATTCATAATTTGTTTTAATATAGAGTTCATCTATGAAGACCGACATGTTCATATATTAATACTTTGTAATTTAGAAATATATATTAAATACACATTTCAAGAAAACGAATTAGTCATTCATGTTTAGATGATGCAAATCAGATTTTATTTCATATTCATGTGTGTGTGTGTGAATTATTCATAATTTATGTTCAGGAAAGGTTAATATCTGAGTCAAATTAGCAAATAATTTTTATTCACATTAAATTTATTATAAATTTTATTTTAAAGAAAGTATATATGAAGACATTATAGACACATTATATATATATATTTCCATTAAAGAGTGAATAATTCTCGGCGGATGTGTGTGGGATTAATATCTTACCCATAAAACAATAACAATGAGTTTTTGTTCGCATCAAAAGCAGCTTTAAATAAAATAAATATGATTATGAAGGTGTCAGTTAGAGGTGTGTGTGTGTGTGTGAAGCACATCTGTGTGTTTGAGAAGTACATCTCAGTGTGTGTGTGTGTTCAACAGTCGAGACTCTGGACTTACTCGTTCAGCAGCATCTCTGACTGACAGGTGTGTGTGTGTGTGTGTGTGTGTGTGTGTGAAGCGTCTGCATGTGCTAAACGAGGTTTTCTACCCACAGAACAATGAGTGGACTCGACCGACGGGTTTCTCTCTCTCTCTCCAGAAACACACACTTGTGTGAGAACGGAAACTGTCAGCCGGAGTCGGCGAACTCTCGGACGAACACTTCATCATGTTTACATGTGTTCACAAGTGCCAAGAATGAGGATTCTCTGGTGTGTGTGTGTGTGTGTGTGTGTGTGTGTGAGTGTGGGACTAAAACCCCAGCCTGACGACACACACACACACACACACACACACACACCGAGGACACTATCAGCCCCTGACTCAGTTTAAAGAAGAATTATCTCTGAAATTATTGCTTAATACTTCCACGTTTATGAAGTTATTTACCAGTACTTACAATTTTTCTAGTGATAAAGTATGTTTGTGAGCTGTACAATTAATACGAAATTAATTAAAACTAAATTCATAAAATGATCACATGTTGGAACCCTTAAAAAGTTCCATATTTTAAAGCTGTAAAGTTCCATTTAGAACCTTTTCTTCTTTATGTTTGATGTTTTTCATAGAAATCAAATGTAATGCAGGAGAGATTTGTGGCTTTATACTAGTGTGCGGTAAAGTGGGAAATAAATAATTGTACACAATTACTCAATAAAACAATTGTAAATAGTTGATTTAAATAAATAATTAATACATTTATATATTTTTTAAAATAATTGAAATAAAATCTTAAGAGCCAAATTTAAAAAAAACATCAAATCCAGGCCAGAAGTATTGATGACTTGTTGCACATTTGTGTCCAAACAAAAACTGGAAACATACTGAATCATCTCTGATTGCATTTAAAGGTATGAATTGATAATTTATGTATATTTCTGTCCTGAAAAAGTTTGAAAACCTGCTGTGTTGTTGCAAGTGAAATTCTGAAGAAGGTCTGAAATAATGAGTTTCTGTGGGCGTGGCCGAGTGGGCGGGGCCACTGTGAGTGATGTACACGTAGGCGGGGCCAAGTCGAGTGATGTTTGTCAAACTGTGTTTAGGGGGCGGGGTCGGTTGAGCATGTGAATCTTCTACAGTTTCTGTTACTTAAGTTATAACTATAGTTGTATGCTGATCGTTCTCGGAGGTCCAGCGCGTTTTCGTTTCGTTTTACATCAGTAGTTTTACTTAGATAGGGTTGGGTTCGTTTCACATAAATGCACTTGAAGTTTTGTTTTAGTGTCACCTTCACCTGAACTTTTTATTCTTGTTTATTCCCGTTCTTGCGCACGGTTTCTAGTCGTTCTCCGAGAACGCCGTGATTTATCAGTTTATTGTAAAGTATTTCAGTATTTAGTGCGTGTTCGCGATGACTTTGAAGGATAAACGACAAAGTCCTCATCCATTCGTTTATGAAGTGGATCTAACAGCTGCTCAGAGGATTCAGGTGAGTGACGTGTGCGCGAAAAACGTCAGCTAACGTGTTTTCCACGTGAACTTTTACGAAAATTACCATGGTAACCGAACTTTCCGACAATTTTAACTTTCCGCGATTGTGACTCAAACTGTGGTAATTATAAATTGCTGTCATTGAACTTGCTGGTAAAAGTTCAGCGATTCTTGTCAAAAGACGAATGTGCTTTAACGATTATTTTAATTATTTTAAACGACTTATTTAAATAGTGACCAGTGAACTATAAACAGAACGGCGTTTCCAAACTTTCTGGTCCTGATCCCCTTGAAAGAACCTTTAATAAAATATTAAGGCATCTATACAAAAGTAGTCTTGAAAGTATTTTCATTGTAGATATAACGTTACAATATTTTGTATCCAACAATACTCATAACTGCTAAAACTGTCTGTTTAGTGGAATTAGTGTTTTTAAATGGAACTGTAAACTTCAAACTGCTGTCAGACATGTTGTCTAAATGTATTTTCACAGCAGTGCGTATTTTGATTGTATTAATATATTTGCCCTTGAAATATTTTGCATAATCATAAACTGCATCATGACTTCTAGTGTTGTGTTGTGATGTAACCTAGCAGCAACCAAACTGCAGAATTGTTAAATCATATTTATATGTTTTATGTTTGGTTTGATCTTGCATTTAAAACACACTTGTAGGCTAAATATAGCTGTGCTGACTGGTATTTTACTGTGGTGAATTTTATGCTGCACATCCAGTACTCTTTTCAGCTCACAGTTTTAGCCCTGTTTAAACATTATGAAAGCATCTTATTGTTCAGTCAGCTGGTCATTACCAGGGTACATTTTGCATTAAAGACAAGCTTCATGATCACAGTTACCAAATAAATGGATATTAAATATTGAGAGAGAAGAAAGTGTGGTTTGTTGCTGCTCTAAATTGGATTGAATTAGTTAATAGGACCAGCTAATGACTGTAAAGTACAGACTGCATAGAAACACAATGGCACATCTTTCTCAACACTTTTTGACTTTTCCCAGTTTGTGACCCCCCCCCCCCCAAACACAGACATAATGAGATCCCTCAAACATAATTTCTTACATACTTACTTACTATACTTTTTTTTAACCCTCAAAGAAAGTAATTGAAATGTGACAACATAACCCACATTGTGCATTGTAACATGACCAAAAATGTTATCTGATCTAATCAAAGAAATATACAAGATAATTTCAAATATTTTGTCAAATACATTTTTGAGTTTGACAACAAACACACCGCAAAACACAACTACACAGTATAGTTGAAAACATAATCAAAATGAATCATTTCTAAACATGGACATAAACAAGACTTGACTTGTGATTCGACATGAAGACTTCAGACTCGACATAAAGAAGACTTGAGAGTTGAGGAGTAGTTCACTTTAAAAAAAAAAACTTTTGCTGATAATTTACTCACCCCCGTGTCATCCAAGATATCCATGTCATTCTTTCTTCAGTCGAAAAGAAATTAAGGTTTTTGATGAAAACATTCCAGGATTTTCTCCATATAATGGACTTCAATGGGGACCAAATGGTTCAAGGTCCAAATGAGAGATTTAGTGCAAACTGTTCAAAGGGCTTTAAACGATTCCAGACGTTTCGTTTCGCTTGATAAGACCCTTATTCATCGTCTGGAGTCGTTTAAAGCCCTTTGAACAGTTTGCACTGAAACTCTCATTTGGACTTTGAACCGTTTGGTCCCCATTCAAGTCCATTATATGGAGAAAATCCTGTAATGTTTTCATCAAAAACCTTCATTTCTTTTCGACTGAAGAAAGAATGACATGGATATCTTGGATGACATGGGGGTGAGTAAATTATCAGTGAACTACTCCTTTAAACTTGAGCCATGTGACTTATCTGACCAATGAAACACTTCTGATGTCTCTCGCAGGGCCTCATTCTGGGAGTCGTCCTGTTCCCGGTCCGCATCACTCTTACCGCCCTGTTCTTCCTGCTCATGTGGCCCATTGCTCGTCTGCGATTGGCCGGGCTGTCGGAGGCGGAGCGGGCGAAGCCTGTGCAGGGCTGGCGTCGCTGGTTCCTCCACCACATCATACTCTTCCTCAGCCGGGCCGTCTTCTTCTCCCTGGGCTTCTTTTGGATTAAGGTCAGAGGGCGTCAGGCGGGCCTGAGGGAAGCTCCGGTTTTGGCTGTGGCGCCTCACAGCGGGTTCCTGGACATGCTGGTTCTGTGCGCGTTGGGCCTGCCGACCGTTGTGTCGCGATCCGAGAACTCCAAACTCCCTGTTATAGGAGGTGAGGTGCTGGAACTGAACCCACGGTTTCATACTTTAATGGCAGTGAATGGCCGTTTCTGTTTTAAACTCGATAAAAGTGCATCTATCCATCATAAAAGTGCATCTGTCCATCATAAAAGTGCGTCTATCCATCATAAAAGTGCATCTGTTCATCATAAAAGTGCATCTATCCATCATAAAAGTGCATCTATCCATCATAAAAGTGCGTCTATCCATCATAAAAGCGCATCTGTCCGTCATAAAAGCGCATCTATCCATCATAAAAGTGCATCTGTCCATCATAAAAGTGCATCTATCCATCATAAAAAGTGCATCTATCCATCATAAAAGTGCATCTATCCATCATAAAAAGTGCATCTATCCATCATAAAAGTGCATCTGTCCATCATAAAAGTGCATCTATCCATCATAAAAGTGCATCTGTCCATCATAAAAAGTGCATCTGTCAGTCATAAAAGTGCTTCTGTCCATCATAAAAGTGCATCTGTCCGTCATAAAAGCGCATCTGTCCATCATAAAAGTGCATCTATCCATCATAAAAGTGCATCTGTCCATCATAAAAGTGCATCTATCCATCATAAAAGTGCATCTGTCCATCATAAAAGTGCATCTATCCATCATAAAAGTGCATCTGTCCATCATAAAAAGTGCATCTGTCCATCATAAGTGCATCTATCCATCATAAAAGTGCATCTATCCATCATAAAAAGTGCATCTGTCCATCATAAAAGTGCATCTGTCCATCATAAAAGTGCATCTGTCCATCATAAAAGTGCATCTGTCCATCATAAAAGTGCATCTATCCATCATAAAAGTGCATCTGTCCATCATAAAAGCGCATCTGTCCATCATAAAAGCGCATCTATCCATCATAAAAGTGCATCTATCCATCATAAAAGTGCATCTATCCATCATAAAAGTGCATCTATCCATCATAAAAGTGCATCTGTCCATCATAAAAGTGCATCTGTCCATCATAAAAGTGCATCTGTCCATCATAAAAGTGCATCTGTCCATCATAAAAGCGCATCTGTCCATCATAAAAGTGCATCTGTCCATCATAAAAGCGCATCTGTCCATCATAAAAGTGCATCTGTCCATCATAAAAGTGCATCTGTCCATCATAAAAGTGCATCTGTCCATCATAAAGCGCATCTATCCATCATAAAAGTGCATCTGTCCATCATAAAAGTGCATCTGTCCATCATAAAAGTGCATCTATCCATCATAAAAGTGCATCTATCCATCATAAAAGTGCATCTATCCATCATAAAAGTGCATCTGTCCATCATAAAAGTGCATCTGTCCATCATAAAAGTTCATCTATCCATCATAAAAGTGCATCTATCCATCATAAAAGCGCATCTGTCCATCATAAAAGCGCATCTGTCCATCATAAAAGCGCATCTGTCCATCATAAAAGTGCATCTGTCCATCATAAAAGTGCATCTGTCCATCATAAAAGTGCATCTATCCATCATAAAAGTGCATCTATCCATCATAAAAGTGCATCTGTCCATCATAAAGTGCATCTGTCCATCATAAAAGTGCATCTATCCATCATAAAAGTGCATCTATCCATCATAAAAGTGCATCTGTCCATCATAAAAGTGCATCTATCCATCATAAAAGTGCATCTATCCATCATAAAAGTGCATCTGTCCATCATAAAAGTGCATCTATCCATCATAAAAGTGCATCTGTCCATCATAAAAGTGCATCTATCCATCATAAAAGTGCATCTGTCCATCATAAAAGTGCATCTGTCCATCATAAAAGTGCATCTGTCCATCATAAAAGTGCATCTATCCATCATAAAAGTGCATCTATCCATCATAAAAGTGCATCTGTCCATCATAAAAGTGCATCTTGTCCATCATAAAAGTGCATCTGTCCATCATAAAAGTGCATCTGTCCATCATAAAAGTGCATCTGTCCATCATAAAAGTGCATCTATCCATCATAAAAGTGCATCTATCCATCATAAAAGTGCATCTGTCCATCATAAAAGTGCATCTGTCCATCATAAAAGTGCATCTGTCCATCATAAAAGTGCATCTATCCATCATAAAAGTGCATCTATCCATCATAAAAGTGCATCTATCCATCATAAAAGTGCATCTGTCCATCATAAAAGTGCATCTGTCCATCATAAAAGTGCATCTATCCATCATAAAAGTGCATCTATCCATCATAAAAGTGCATCTGTCCATCATAAAGTGCATCTATCCATCATAAAAGTGCATCTATCCATCATAAAAGTGCATCTGTCCATCATAAAAGTGCATCTATCCATCATAAAGTGCATCTGTCCATCATAAAAGTGCATCTATCCATCATAAAAGTGGCATCTGTCCATCATAAAAGTGCATCTGTCCATCATAAAAGTGCATCTGTCCATCATAAAAGTGCATCTATCATCATAAAAGTGCATCTATCCATCATAAAAGTGCATCTGTCCATCATAAAAGTGCATCTGTCCATCATAAAAGTGCATCTGTCCATCATAAAAGTGCATCTGTCCATCATAAAAGTGCATCTGTCCATCATAAAAGTGCATCTATCCATCATAAAAGTGCATCTATCCATCATAAAAGTGCATCTGTCCATCATAAAAGTGCATCTGTCCATCATAAAAGTGCATCTGTCCATCATAAAAGTGCATCTATCCATCATAAAAGTGCATCTATCCATCATAAAAGTGCATCTATCCATCATAAAAGTGCATCTGTCCATCATAAAAGTGCATCTGTCCATCATAAAAGTGCTCCACTGGTCAACCATAGATTCGCATCAGCCCGTTTCCCGCAATAGGATTTTTCATTTTGGCTTTCGTGTCAGAAAATAAACTCTATGACCAACAGAAGTTTATGATTCTTACACGTTTTGTTCATCATGAAAATTTGAACATTTGAAGCATAAATACAGTCAGTTTAAAGCTAAACTTAAACAATAAACAAACTCCAGAACAGTCACATGACTTCACTGAGCTAAATGAATACATGGAGACCAAGTTTTACTGTAGTTACTGTAGGATATTTTTTGTTTTTTATTCTGTTGAAACTATTCAAACACACTTGAAATCTGTGATAATCTGTGTGTCCGTCGCAGCGCTGCTGGAGTTTAATCAGGCAGTGTTGGTGAACCGGAAAGATCCTGAATCTAGGAAGAAATGTGTGTCTCAGATCCGTGAGAGAGTCACCTCAGACGGCCACTGGCCTCAGGTAACAATAAACACACACACACACACACACACTCACTCACTCACTCTTACACACACACACACACACACTCTCTCACTCACACTCTCACTCACTCACTCACTCACTCAATTCAATTTCAATTCAATTCAAAGGGGCTTTATTGGCATGAAAGTTTTTCAAACAATGTTGCCAAAGCATATACAACATATACAAATACTCTATACACACATATATATACATATACACACACACACACACACACACACACACATACATAAACACTTGACACAATATTTGGATATATTTGCGTGTGCGTGCGCGCGTGCGCGTCGATCACTCATTCACTGCCCCTCAGGTTGTGGCATGTTTGAATATATTGGGCAGCAAGATAAGTTTTGTCTCCTTCTCCCAGGAGAAAGTTTAACTTAGAAATGTCATCCAGGTCTATGAAATTTGGGATTATATAGTTAAATTTGTTAAAGTAAAGGTCCCTTGTGTCTTTGAACGCTTCACATTTTAGGAGAAAGTGCATCTCCGTCTCAACCTCACCTGTCAAACAGTGATCACACGTTCTGTTTTCTTTTGGTTGCCACAATTTTTTGTGTCTTCCTGTTTCGATTGCCAGTTTGTGATCACTGAGCCTGTACCTGGTTAGGATCTGTCTCTGCTTTCTGTCTCTGACAGTAGAGAGATATTCTGCTAATTTATATTCTCTTTTTAGGGTCAGATAACATTCTAGTCTACTTTGGCTTTTAGTTTCTTCTTTCCAATGTTCCAGATAGGTTTCTTTGCATTGTGCTATGATTTGCTTGACTCTGATTGGTGTTTGGACGGCAGTGTTGTTCTGAGGCTGCTCAGACTGTCTCTGATGTGGGGCAGTTTGTCTTAGTACCAGTTGACATAGGGGACTCTTTTCTGGGCTCAGCTCCTGGGAGTGAAGTGTGTTTTGGGGGCTGGATTTCAGGTGGTTAAAAAAGTTGAGTGTTCTCTTTTGGATGTTAATTATCAGGGGGTATCTGCCTAATTCTGCTCTGCATGCATTTGTTGGTGTGTTTCTGTGTACGTGTAGAATGTATCTGCAAAATTCTGCATGAAGAGATTCTGTTGGGTGTTTGTCCCAACGGGTATAGCTCTGATGACTGAGTGGACCCCATATTTCACTACCATATAGCGCAATGGGCTGGATGACACTGTCAAATATTTTAAGCCAGATTTTAATTGGAATTTGGAAGTTATAGAATTTTCTCTTAATTGCATGTATAGCTCTTCGAGCTTTTTCTTTTAGTTCATTCACTGCCATGTTGAAACTCCCTGATGCTGATATGGTTATACCAAGGTAGGTATAGCTCATGCTGTGTTCAATGACATCATTATTGATGGTGAATTGATGTTTGTTCTCCTGACATCTTGGGCGTTTTTGGAAGATCATGATATTAGTTTTCTTCATATTTACAGCCAGAGCCCAGTTCTGACAGTACTTTTCTACGATGTCTAGCTGTTGCTGTAATCCCTGTTTAGTAGGAGACAGCAGAACGAGATCGTCAGCATAAAACAGGGACTTCACATCTCGATCTAGAAGGGTGAGGCCAGGAGCAGCACATTGATCTAACTCAACAGCAAGCTCATTGATGTATATATTAAATAATGTTGGACTTAAATTGCAACCCTGCCGAACACCTCTTCTTTGGGTGAAGAAATCAGTTTGTTTGTTGCCAATTTTAATAGCGCACATATTTTCTAAATACATAGATTTAACTAGATCATACATTTTGCCCCCTATACCACATTTTAGAAGTCTGTAAAAGAGACCTTCATGCCAAATAGAATCAAAAGCTTTTCTGAAATCAATGAAACAAGAGAATATTTTACCATTTTTAGTTTGGTGTACATGTTTATTAATTAATGTGTGTAAGGTATATATATGATCAGTGGTGCGGTGTTTTGGGAGGAAACCAATCTGGCTTTTACTTAAGATGGAGTGTTCCTCAATGAAATCTAGCATTCTTTTATTGAGAATGCTGCAGAATAATTTGCCTAGACAGCTGCTGACAGAGATGCCACGGTAGTTATTAGGGTCTGATTTGTCCCCACTCTTATGAATGGGGGAAATGAGCCCTTTGCACCAGATGTCAGGAAAACATCCTGACTGTAGAACAATATTGAACAGCTTTAACATTGCAGCCTGCATCTCTGGGGTGCTGCATTTCAGCATCTCGTTTTTAATGTTGTCTGGACCACAAGCTTTCCTCGGCTGGAGAGATTTTGTCTGTGTGATCAATTCTTCCCAAGTAATTGGAGAATCGAGAGGGTTTTGGTTGTCTTTAATTGTCTGTTCTAATATTTGGAGTTTTTCTTTTACAAAATTTTGTTCTGGTCTAATTTGTTTAATTGGTATGTATTTGTAAAGGTTTTCAAAATGTGTTTTCCAGATATCACCATTTTGAATGGGTAATGCTTGTTGTGGTTTTGTGTTGAACTTGTTCCACATATTCCAGAATTGATCTTGATTAATGGCGTTTTCAATGTCTTCAAGTTTCCTGTGGGTATAATTTTGTTTTTTGTTCCTAATTGTACATTTGTATTTATTTAAAATGTCATTGTATCGAATGCGTAAGGCCGGGTTGTTTGGTTGGCGGTGTTTTTCATTTGCTATATTTCTAAGGTCTTTTCTGATGGTCTTGCATTCTTTATCAAACCATTTCTCAACATTTTGTCTTCTAATAGGCTTATGTTTCTGTTTTATGAGGTCAGCTCTGATGGCTGCCTTATGGAATATCGTGTTGATGTCATCAGTCGCCTTGTTTACACCGTTTTTGGTAGGGACATATTGAGTTTGGTCATATATGGAGATGTCATTCATCAGATCAGGTGATTTGAAGGCCATGATGAGTTTGTCTCCACTGTCTGTGGCCCATCTGTAGCCAGGATTTAACTCATACAGCTTACTGGGTTCTTTTGTTTTGGGATTTAATTTGATCTGGGAGTTTGATTGATCTGGGAGTTTAAAGAACAGATTTATTTGGTTGTGGTCTGAAAGTGGGGATTGTTGTCTGACAGTGAATGCACTGATAGTTGAGGGGTCCATGTCAGTGATTGCATAGTCTACTACACTAGATCCATGAGCTGAGGAGTAGGTGAATCTCCCTAAAGAGTCCCCTCTGAACCTACCATTAACTATGTACAGGCCTAAAGCCCGACAGAGATGCACTATCTCCCTGCCACTTTGATTAATTTCACAATCGAGGTTGTTCCGATGGGTGAGGGTTGGTGTGTTAAACAGGGGGGCCTGATCAAATACATGTTTGTGGTTCTGTGGGTCGATGACATCAGGTTCAATTCCTGTTCGTGCATTTAGATCACCAGTTAGAAGAACATTTCCCTGGGCCTGGAAGTAGGCGGTTTCTGAATGGAGAGTATCAAAAATATCTTCTTCAAAATAAGGAGAATCAACTGGGGGTATATATATTGCACATAGATAGAGATCTCTATCAGTAATGCCAAGGGTTTGATCAATTCTCAACCAAATATGGGATTTACCCTGTTTTACTGTTGAGATTTGACTGCATAGATCTTCTTTGTACCACACCAAGATCCCCCCCGATGTTCTGCCCTTACGGATGTTTTTAAATTTTATAGAGGGCACCATGATTTCATTATATCCTGGGGGACAGTGAATGAGTGAATCATTTTTGCACCATGTTTCTGTCAATATAATTAAGTCAACATCTTTTATAGATTTAATGAATTCAGGGTCTTCACTCTTCAGCTCAAATGTCGAGGAGTGGAGACCCTGGATATTCCAACAGCTTATATGTAATGAGCGCATTAAAACAAACAAAATGAACCTATATAGTAGGACAAAAAAAAAAAAAAACCTTCAATTATGTATCCATTTACAATATTAAATAAATATTTTAAAATTATAAATATTACCATTATACTAATTTCTAACATTGTTATTATTACAGTTACTAACTCAATAGATATATATATCAATGTTATATTACCCAAATGATAAAGTGTTTTGTGCATGTATATCTTAGCTGGGCAGAAGTCGGGTACACAGAGTTTCCAGCATCTTCCTGATGTCTCCCAGCTCAGAGGCAGCAGGGGGAGGGGGGTTGTGGCAGGGGGCGGGGCTACAACTGAAGAATAACTCCGTTGCTGTGGGTGGGGAGGCAGGTCAGGGATAGGTGCTGTTGTGTAACTCTGCTGTCTATGTTGTAAAAGTGGACGGTGGGAAGGGGTTAAGGAGGGGGAAAGTAGCCTTCTCTGGTTGTGTTTCGCCATGGTTAGGTGATGGGCGGGTGGGGAGGGGGAGGTCCAGACTGAGTGGTTGTGCCTCCTGGCAGCAGGGGGGATGATCCTGGAGTGGTGGGGAGGAGGAGGTCTGGAAGGATCACTGAAGCGTGTAATTGAGGAGAGGGTAGAAGGACTGCGTCCTAGGGCCGTGTCTTTGAGAGTCTTCGCAAAGATCTTCACCTTCTCTTTGTGGAGATGGAGTCCATCATAGAGGTCCCAGATTGAAATGGTTGGGTGGACGGCCAGGTGTACATTGGGTAAAGTGGCACATCCTCTTCTGATCTCCATATTAATGTCATGGATGGCATGAGGGGGGATGTCTGTCCTAGGCAGCAGCGTGGAGATCACAATGCGGGTGTCAGGAAACTCCTTACTGGCCTGCTCTGCCATTTTCTTCACTGCCTCAGCAGTGCCTTTTCGGAGGCTGTGCAGATCATTTGTTCCTGTGTGGATCACCAGGCATTGAGGGCTCTTGAGGGTCTCCTTCTTTAACAGCTTCATTGCCTGACCTGTGGTGCTGCAGCGTTTAGAAAGCACTTTTTTACCTGGAAAAAGCTTGTTTGTGTCCAGGAATTTCCCATTTGAGTCAACCAATAGGACCACTTGTGGGGCTTGTTCTTCAGGCTGAGTGGAGGCAGGCTGTGATGGGCAGAGCTGGTTGTTGGCAGCTGGCAGTGTAGGTGTAGAAGGAGCTGTCAGGGTGTTGTTGGGCTGGCTGTGGAGCAGAGATGGTGGAACAGAGACAAAACAAGGCTGTGGGACACTGGCAGGGAGAGTCTGTGTCTCTGTAGTTGTCAGGATTTCTGAGAGTTGTTCTGTCAGGTGTTGGATCTGCCTGAAGAAGCTCCTTTCTCTGTTCTCAGCATCTTCCTTTATTTTGGCCATTTGGGTATGAAGTATACTGTTCTCCTGCTTCAGTGCCTCTATACTTCCTCTTAGGCCAGATTCCAATGACTGGTTGTCTCTTTTGAGCTGTTGGAGCTCCTCTTGAATCTGCTGCACAGTGCTGTTTTGAGGCTCACACAGCCTGGCCAGGGTCAGCTCTTTAAATTCAGCAAAGTCCAGCTCCAATAGG